ACTTTGCCGTCCTTTTCAATGGCACCTTCGAGCTTTGCCGCTTAAACAGCTCAACTCGGCTCGATTCGGGTGCCAGGGCATGCGCGGGCTCGCTGGGGCAGAGCGCAAGAAGAAGCGGCACGAAAAACATTAGCCAGAACATCCTACTGGCCCCAACGACTGTTTTCCCCATCGTAGTCGGTGCCTGCCTGTGTGTCCTTCGGGTGTTGTTTGTGGAACTTCTATTATGCCTAAAACAATGGTGTCAAGATCGTCTCTTTGCAGGGGGATTGCCGCGGAGAAAGTGGGAAGAGAAAGGGGAACACACAAGTCGCCGTGGGCTCAAAGCGCCGGGTACCGTCCGCGGGACAGCACGCAATTGTGGCAGTTCATCGTTGGTGGTGGCCTCGCGCGGAAGCCTGCTTTCTTCTTCCAACGGTCTTTCATTCCGCGCCACGGCAGCGGCACGCGGGAATAGAAGGCAGGGAAGCAACGACAGGCCTGACGGACGCGATGGCCGCTGCTGTGGGAACTACGAGGCCGCCTCGCACAAGAACGCCACCACCGCCACCAAAACAGCCCTCTCGGCATCCGCCGCGCCGCGCCACGGCGTCCAGCGTTGCGCCGGGCTCCCCGCAAGCCCCGCAACAGACCGAGAGCAATGTGCGGCACGCTGCGGCAGCGCCATGACCATCATCCCGACGCCCCTTCCTGCGCGGCTCGTCGCATTGCAGAAACCGCACCGTCAGCAGGTTGCTGCTGTCAATAAAACGGAGACAAAGTAACGCCGGCGTGTCGCGGGACTTGCGGCAGGCGCAGGAAACCCTCTCACCGCCAGCAGCTCACGCCAAACACCACACGGGCGATCACGTCATGATGCTGCCTCCGCCAAGCTGACGTTATAGCCGTCATCCGGCGACAGAAGCTTGCCCTGGTACACATGCCCTTGCCGTGTCTCGGCCTCGACTCGGAGAGACGGAGAAGGTCGCAATGACAATGAAGGCAAAGCCTGGTAAGGCAAATCGATTCGTTGGTCCTGGAGTGGCTGATTATCCCTCGGATCCACCACAGGCGTAAAAACCCCGCTTGTGGCGACACAAAGCCAGTCTCTCCTAGCGGCCCTCAACAAGGACCGGATCTGGCAGCGTCTCTTGACACTGATGCGTGCCGGCCGGTCCGTGCACCGGCAGTTTTGTTACGGACATTGTGGAGTGCATGCTAATGAGCCTGCGGCTCAGCATGCGACGCAGACCATGGCAATCGGACAACACACGGAACATGGAATCGCGCCCATATGGCACACGGACCCGCTGACATGCTTTACTGCCCAGCCCAGCAACAAGTGGCGTCGTACCATTCGCCAAGCCACTCACCGCTACTCGCTCTGTGGTGCCAGGAAGCGGTCTCCGCCACTACAGGACCAGCCAAACTCCACAGGCACGCCAGTTGACACGCAGGAGACCTTTCGCCATCTGCTTCTAGAATGCCCAGGCACCTCCGCTGCGCGCCAACGGCGGGGCATTCAGGAAGATCCACGCAACAAAAAGTTCTCTCAGTGGCAGTCGCTTCATAGCAGGAAGCCTTTTCCGCTGCTCAACCGCCTCCTCGGCACCAGGACGGCATCGTGCGGCTAGACGCGCCGGTAAGAGTGGGAAAACAAACAAAAACAAATAAGGATTAGTGCGCAAATGACAAAAGGTGACCGAAGCAACACAAATAAGATAATAAAGAAATAGCAAAGGAGCAACGCAAAGCTCATAGATGAATAATTACATTTATGTGTACGGGCCGTCCTTTTCCTTTTTTTTTTATGTCAATTTTTTCTTTTTACTGAAGTTTCTTTTCCTGCCGTCTTCGCTTGATTTATTTTCTGTACTCGTGCAATATATATGAAAGAATCCAAAACACACTACTCAACTAGCATTCACACATACACACTTCCCTTTGGGTACGCAAGTCCATGTGTGGGGATTAATGCAACCCGCCCGCCCCAACTCCTGCGGCAGAGAAAGTAATCGATTTGGAATTCATGAACTTCTCTGTGCCACTAGCATTTCTATTCGTGATATGGCATGCGCCAAAACGTTGCTGACGGTGCGGAACTTCCTTCTGCTCTGGTTGAAAGGGTTTTATAACCTCCGCTACGGCGACGTGTGCTGGGCAGTTGCCGCTATGCCTCTGATACGGTCGCGGCGGAAGCGACGGTGATAATGACAAACGTAAACGATTTTGTTGTAAACTCCTTCGCCAAAAACTGCTGGGGGCTGACAGGGATCGTCCCACCGTCGTTGTCGACGCCGCGGCCACAGCGCCCGGCATGAGCGCCTTTTCTTCTTCACTGAAAACGGCTGGTGATGCTTCGACGGGCTCAGTGCTGCTGCTGCCGCCGTTGTTGTTGTTGCTGCCGCTACTTTCAACACTGACAGCAACACTTCTGCGCCGCCCCACGCGATGCTGCCGCATCTTATCCAAAAGTCCTGTTTTCCAGTCATTTTCGGTCAGACGACGGCCTATCATTTCTTGCGCCTCCGTGACGCGCATCAGCAACGCAGCGCGCTCCGTCAAAAAACCAATGAGCATTACCCGACGCTCGATAGCTAATATTCCCCTATAGAGGCGAAACGCCATGGCCCGGCGACCGGTGTTACAAAAATCAATAATGGCATGCCGCTTTTCACTCTCCGTTAACATCATCTCTCGTATCACCGCCTTTTCCCGCTCTCGGGCTATAAACAGTAAACGGCGTTCACGGAGTGAACCAGTACTATGCTCCACCTGGAAAAGTCCTC